AGAGACACCCTGTCCCTCCCCAGGACGCAGAGGCCTGCCAGCTGCCGGAGGAGCCCGCCCAGGGAGAGCCCAGCTCTGGCACTGACATGTGGGCACAGCTGTGAGGTGAGCACCCCGGGCTGGGGGCAGTGGGGGGGCGTCCCTGGGGGAGGGCAGCACTGGGCCGTGGGCGCCTAGTCCTGCCTCGTCCCTCCCCCTGCTGGCACCACACTGACCCCTCCTCCCTCTCCAGGCCTGGGCCTGTGCCCCTCCACAGCAAGCAGCGCCCCCCAGCTCCTGCCTCCAGCACGGAACCTGCGCCCCGGCCCCCTCTGACTTCTGCTTCCCTCCCTGCTTTGGGCAATAAAGAACTGATACTGACCTGAAGTCTCTGTGCTCTCAGCCCAGGAGGCCCTGCCTCTCCCTGACCCCCCCATCCCAGGCTACGTCTACACTACTATGATTTTCCGGAAATACTTTTAATGGAAAAGTTTTCTGTTAAAAGCATTTTCGGAAAAGCGCGTCTAGATTGGCACAGACACTGTTCGCAAAAAAGCCCCAATCGCCATTTTCGCAATCGGGGCTTTTTTGCGGAAAACAAATCTGAGCTGTCTCCACTGGCCCTTTTATGCAAAAGTTTTTCGGAAAAAGACTTTTGCCCAAACGGGAGCAGCAGAGTATTTCCGCAGAAGCACTGACAATCTTACACGAGATCGTCCGTGCTTTTGCGGAAATTCAAGCGGCCAGTGTAAACAGCTGGCAAGGGAATTGACCGTCCTTAACATCCTTATCCCAGACCACACTCGCCTGCTAGTGCCTGCTCTGCATGGCCTGGCTCTGGGGCCTTGTTCAGTTGGGTCGGCTCTGCCAGCTACAGCCTGGATCCCCACACCGCGCTCCCTGCCAGGGTCACCACAGCTGCTTCTCTGCAGGAGAAGGGGCATTTTGCTTTGGTCTCCACATCAGCTGATCCTCCCAGACTAAGGATGTTAAATTGTGGTTCATTGACTAGTCAAGTTGCCTCCCTGTTTCAAAGGGGCAGCACCAGGGAGCCTGGGGTCAGCTGGGGACTCCAGCTGACCCCAGCTCCACCAGCATTTTAAAGGGGCAAAACCGGAGGCAGCAAAGGCGGGGAATTGACCAGTCCTTAACATCCTTATCCCAGACCACACTCGCCTGCTAGTGCCTGCTCTGCATGGCCTGACTCTGGGGCCTTGTTCAGTGGGGTCGGCTCTGCCAGCTACAGCCTGGATCCCCACACCGCGCTCCCTGCCAGGGCCTGATCCTGCAGGGCCCCAGGGCAGGGAGACCTGGTCCCGGGGAGAGGGGTATCTCCTTAGCAGTGGGGGCACAGCTGCAAGCCCGGGGCTGAATGCTGAGGCTCTGCTCCCCTCCCTGATCCAGGCCCCCTTCAATCCAGCTCCCTGCAGGGCCGGGGGGCTGAGGTGAAGATGTCACCTCCCCCAGGGAAGGGACGGCGCTCTGGGTGGGCGCCCCATGGCTCCAGCAGGAGAGACAGCTGGCATGGGCCAGCAGCGCCACGCTGGGGACCAGCCCGCTGTCCCCCCCGCCCCACCCGCATGGGGACCCCAAGGAGGAACTGCACCCCGAGGGCCCCCAGCAGAGCCCAGCGTCCCTGTCACCAGGTCAACAGCCTGCAGGAGTCAGGACTGTGGCTCCATCAGCTCTGTGCAACCCCCCCGGGGGTCCCCTCTCCCTGGGCTTAGGGGCTTTGGCCCAGTCCATGGGGCTCCGGCTGCTCATTGCCCCCAGCCCATCATTCCTTCACCGACCACTGTATGACTGCCTGACCCCCCCCCCCCCCCCCCCCCC